GTATACCCCAACTACTAAATGATGTCCAGTATATTTGTCTAGAATATTATGTCTTCCAGTTGTAACTATACAATTAGTTCAAGAACGAAATTTCGTCAGCTCACAAACACGCATAACGTGTGTAAAATCTGAAAATAACCCGTGATAATCAGTAAACCAATAACTCCGTGACACTGTGACAATTCAGTCACGACTTTAAAACATTTTAGTGTACACGAAATATTGCGACATAAGAGTGACTAGTGTAAATAAAATACCCAAAGCAAATAAATAATACACGCAAAATAAATTGCGGCCATATTATCTCGTGCTGTACTATTTAGAAATAATGCGAGCTGTCACATAAAGTGTGGACGCACACGTATTGACAATGACACTATTTTGCCATAAAAAATGATTCATTAACGTCATGATTAATAATATCGCTATACCGAAACGTATTTATTCGCAGATGATCATAAAGTTATCAGGGTCTCGCATTGACTTCGATGTATAACATATTATTCCTTATTAACGTATTTAGATAATCTTTTAGCCGGTTTCTTTAGCTCTTTTAGTTCCTTAGGTCAGTGGGATCTTGGAATTGGAAGGGAATCGAAAACGTTTCGGTCTTTGAAGGACACGGAACGAAATGATCCGTATTTATGATTTATTGATTTAAATAGGAATGTTTTATTGTTTTCCCTCTTTGATATCCTTTTCATGTGTTTCGAATAAAGATTTTCGTATACGTGTATGTGTGTGTGTATATAATGAATACCTACAAATGGTGTGTGTGTTAAATTTTATAAAGAAAATAAAAGTAACAATGAAACAAGTTTATTATAAACTCATAAGTTTATATTTGAATATTACTGAAATCTAAATATTTAATTTGATTTATGTGGTCTTAGGACGCGTTCCCTAATATCGTGATGACAGATTGTCGTGCAGTTTACAGTGTCGTGGCTTATATATTTAAATGAAGTTGTTCATATATAGCACGACACGATTAACAGTCGTTCACGATTTTTTATCGTTACAACGACAAACTGTCGTCACAGCTAGAACGACAGTCGTCAGACGATAAAACTTGACGACAGATTGTCGCCGCTCCTATTGTCGTCACGTTTTATTTATCCGCACGTATTCTGCTCCCTGCCCTCCCCTCTCGTACCCCGCGCCCTCTGTTCGCTTTGCAGCAGCGTTGGGTCGTAGCCAGAGATAGGCAAGGAGGCTGTCTTGAAACGATAAATTGTCGTCACGATCTAGTGGGAACAGATAGTCACGACAGTCGTTCAACGATAAAAAATCGTCCACGATAGATAGTCGTGTTATGGGAACAGGCTAGACACGACAGTCGTCCAACGATAATAAAACGTGACGACATAGTGGGAACGCGCCCTTAAACGAACTGGCAAGGTTCAATCGTGCATCTCATTTGAACTTGTACTAAAAGCAATGATAGTTCATTAATTGTCTCGTTCGCACCATCTCGTCTCGCGTCTGTGAACTGAAAGAACTAAAAAGACAGGTGAACTAATACGATCGTCTCGCGTTTGTGGCTCCACAAACAGGTCTCATTCCTACGGAACTAAAAGACAGGTGAACTATTAGGATCGTACACAAGGAACCAGTTCCTTTCGGTCAGTGTCAGGAATTCATTTTTCATAGAGATAGATAAGACCTAGGAAAAGGACATAAAGTAATTGTTGTCACAAAAATAAATTTTAATGACGGTTAAATAGGGAATGGAAAGTTTGCGGCACCAATCATTTATCAAGTCAGTAGTACAGTAAGCTACTCCAAGTACTTATTTTACACAGATAAAGTCATGGGCACCAGCTAGTTGCTCTATAAAAATAAATATTTACTTTATGTGTTAAAAAGGTATAAAACAAAACCTGAGCTGTGTCAACTATTTTGATAAAACGGTAATTATAACTAATTTATATGTCTGTGGAAAAGCAGTTTATGCTTATCTAATGTGAAAAGTATGTGGGAACTTAAAAGTATGAGGCAGTAAGTAATGGTATTATCAACGCGCCCTTGAAATTGGGCTCTTTTGTGCCGAAAAAGTTTTTAATTACATTGTTATGTTTTTAATTTCTTTTTGCAACAATGATAAAAGCAAATTACACAACGTCTCTACGGGGACTATTAGACTGATACCTTTATAAGAGAAATACTTATCCATCTTAAGCATTATTTAGACTTCTTGTTGTTAATCCGATATAATCCAAACTCAGCCAAGCCAAATTGCGACGTCTATATTAATTAAACTATTCAAATTATAGTAATATAGTCATCTCAAGAATAATAATCTTTTAACGACGAGATTAGTGATAATGAATTGCTTAAATTCTTATAAAAACCAGCGAATAAGTATTAATTTGCTTTAAAGAAGTGTTACAAAATAATTCTATAAGATTTATAGACTTATTTGTATCTTTTAGACGATTAATAGTAACAGACTTGCCTTTGCTCTTCGAACCGCATTTAAAATAACCGAAATGTCTTTACTGCAGTGACGAGGCGTGAAAATTTTCCTTGGTACAGTCGAAGCTTAACTTTTTGAAGAAACAAAACACACTCACTTTAAGAGGGAGCAGAGAAAAAATTCCTAATCTTCGATTTGATTTTAGAAGGGTATATCCACTTTAAAGTTAAAAATATTGTATTGTATTGTAAATATTGTATGAGTAACTACACGATATATTCAAGCATAGACACTAATCAGAAACATAAAACAATAAAGTTTCCTCGATAGATAAAAATCACGAAATGACCTTTCACATTTTTTCGATTCATCCTCGAAATGCTACAGGTTATTAGGACAAAAATTAGATAATTAATTATATTTATGCATGATCGAGAACTGTCACTACGGATTTTTCTAATCCCTTTAGTTTTAGAGTTATTCCGCTAAAACGAATTTGGTACTTTTAATGCGCAAAATTCAACATCTCCTGTCGCATGTCACGCGAACTTCAGGCATATATTTGTTTCACAAATTTTTATTTAATAAATAGTTTTGGGCGGAGCCAACGTCAAAACATTTTTGGCATGCTCCCTATTAATAAAAATTTCTTTACCCGTTAAAAACGCGCCTTGGCGACATTTAAACACACTTATTAGCACAGAAGACACCAATTCACTTCATTTCACAAGTTAACTTATTCTACATATAAAATAACTACAATTTTTAAAGTCATTTACTACATTTCGTACTTGACAACTAACATAGTATTATCTCAAAAACATAGTATTATCTCAAAAATTGCGTTATATTTTATTTTATCTCAAAATTCCGTTATAATATTAATAATTTATCTCCAAAATTTTCTATATTTGTATGTCATTCGTATATGATTTGATTTCAAAGTGACAGGGCAACAATGTCGCTTTGAAATTAAATAGGTAATATTAATATAACCTGAATCAATTTTGAGATAATACTATGTAAGTTATCATTTGTGATTTTATGCTGCCCGTCGCGATACGAAAGTTTGTAAACAAAGTCATGAATGCTAGGTGTTTTTATTTTAATTACCTACGAATTACCATGACCTTCTATGTACATACATCCTTTACCCCTGTAGCCCTATTAAAAAGAGACAATATATATATATATATATATATACATATACTATATATATATATATATGTATATATATATAGTACATCTGGCAACGACTCTGAGATTAAAACAAATTAAACTGTAATGTGTTTTGTACAGCCGGTGGGAATCGAGTTATATGGACGCCTCACCACTGCTGACATAATAATTCCGGAAATAATTTTGTTACTCTGGTAGTCTTGATCCAGGAGAATTCCTGCAGAACCTTAACTACTTATGCAGAACCTTAACTTTCATTCAAGTTATACAATAAATAATAAAATAAATACAATTGCATGGAATGTTTTTGATTTCTAATAGTACGGTACAATAATATTAATGAAAATTTAGTAGCTGTAGAGCTCCTTGTGAAAGAGTTCGTCCAGAGAAGTTCTGCCTTACCTATTTCTGCCGCCAAGCAGTAATGTCAGCATTACTGAGTTCCGGTTTTGAAGGGTAAGGGTGCTGGTGAAATTACAGGCACATGGGACTTGTCAACTTATGTCTCAGGGTGACGGGCGCAGTGGTAGTGCCCCTCAGATCTTTGCAATTTAAAGATCTGAGTGGCACTGCAACGGTTATGGACAGGCGTGTAGCTGACCATCAGGCGCGCGACTTGTTCATCCCGTCACTTGAGATCGTAAAAAAATCACTAATAAAAAAATATATTGAGGGAAATAGTGATGAATATTTTCAACGTTTTACGACAGAGGAAGAATTGTTATTCTATTTTATTCTAATGGCAATTTATTTTGTTACAGACCCAGTGAATACATCGACGAGAAACACAGAGCGTTGAAATATAAATCCTTTTAAAGCTATTGACAATGTGTCCAAAAGGATAACAATCTACAACATAATCCCAGTGGTACAAATTGCACAAATTGTTGGACATAAAAGGTGGCAGTGAAAATGTGTTTAAAGAGATAAATATCGCAACAAATAATTAGGATGTGAAACCATGTTGGAATGCGTGCGTCGCGCGAGCACAGTGGTACGCGCGTCGACAAAAACTCGACAAAATTTAAAGGGGAGAAGTGGGGATTTTTTGCTCGTGCTGCTTTTTGTGCTCCTGTGCGTGAGGTAAGTAACGTCTTTTGTTGTTTATAATACACATTACTTTGCAGTTGAAATTCCCTTTTTAACCGACTTCAAAAAAAGGAGGTGCAGCATGGATCCGGTGGAACTTGAAACCACGGGTTCAAGTACCACCGAGCCGACGAAAATTGTTCCGTGTGTTCGGTCTTTATATTCATAATAATAACAAAACTAGTGGAGTTATATTTCACGAAAAATATCAATAAATACTATACTCGATTAAAATCCAAATAAAAAGGTTTCATTTCCTATGTGTAATAATCGCGAAAACCTAAGAACTCCAAATAAATTAAATCTAACTACTATATTTATTAATATAAAGATCGAACACTTAATAAAAATAGCTT